TTCTAGGAGAAAAAGACTCTACCTACCAGCAGTCTGAAGGTAGAAAAACCCCCATCTTTACTCTTTTATTTATGATCTTCTCACAGGATTGAGTTGACTTTTTATCTGTCTGCCCTGATGCTAGTGTCTCCCATTGGCTTTTCAACCATCTGACCAATTTCAACCAATTTTAATGGCAAGGCATATGTCTCAGAGAAAACTAAGATACTGAACAATTTCTTGAACATGTAACCAGCTGTGGTGCTTAGGCAGGAGTGTTGCATCCTATTGCTGTCTGGCAGAAGGAAACTGAAGCACCCACAATTTGACAGTCTGAAGAGGCAAGGAACCACAGCATGCTGGATGATGAGCATGTGCTTTCTCGCCAGTGAGGGCAGGTTGCCCCTTCCTCAGCCAGCAGCTTTGTAGGGGCTTTAAAAGCAGTTGAAAATTTTGTGGGAGGGCACAAAGGGCAAGGGGCCATCATTACACATCTCCAAGAGATGCAGGGGTGTCCTGGTTTTCCTGGGACAGAGTTTTCAGGGAGTAAAAGGTAATGTAGAAGCAAAACCTGAGTGGGTAGCCATGAGGAACAAAGGCTTAAAAGTGTGTAGGAATACAGACTTCTTCACTTGCTCTATACAAACTGCTCATCACAGCTCTGTGGTGAGTGCAGGGGAGCCGGAGTGTGACTAACGGCAAGCAGCAACTTTTGCTAGGAGGGCAGAGCAGCAACTTCATGCACTGAGATCACCCGTGCTAACTTTCCCCTGCCACCTGCCTCTCTCCCACAGACATGTTCAAGCCACTGTTTGTCCAAGATCTCTCCTTGGCATATTGTTTTCCTTTCAAATTCTTCAGCTTGTCTTTTTTAAGCATCGATACACTGATGTCATTTGTTCCTTGTAAGCAGCATACCCCAGGGGAGCCTGACCTGTCTGACTGCTTCTTCTTGCTGAAGGAGCCAGAGGGACATCAGCTTCTGGTCCTGCTGCATCCACATTTTCAAGTAAATCTAAAGTCCAAATGTAGTCCATAGGCAAGATGTCTTTTTGACTTTTGTCGTAAAATGAATAAACAAATAGTTTAGCCCAAATTTTCACTGCCTTCTCCATCTTATTCCCAAGATGAAGGGAGTCTTGCTGTAATAAAGGTGTATGTGTAAGGCACTGCATAAACATGTCCAGGTACTGTATCTTAACAACACATATTCATGGATACATATAAATGTTGAAAGAAGAAGCCCATTTAGGTTACAGAAGAATATGTGTGTTTAGGTATATAAACATCCTTGCAAAATGAATCTGAGATATCACACAATGGGGAGAAAGAAGAAATGAAAATCACCGAGTGTTTAAATAGACTTTTGTGACAGAAAATACTTCTGCTAAGAATTCTGGGTACCTCTTGTATGCACAAAGTATGTATTCATTTTATCAGTATTATGATGCTTGTTACTGTAGACTATTATTACAATACTTTCAGTTCCTTCTACATTCCCAACTACAGAAAGAATACCAATAGCCAAGCCCCAAATATAAACAACCCTTTGACAATTTAATAATGGCACAAAGGATCATCCTTTCCAGAACTGCATTCCTATATATCCTACTCCCTCTAACTGCTTGCAGCAATAGCATGCATGTTATTTTCTGTGCATGAGTATGTATCGATGCTTAAAAATTGTCTTTGCATGCATACTCCATTTGGAATCTTCGTAGACACAACCAGCACAGATACCAAGTAGTGCCTCTTCTGACAGTACATTTGATGACATGGAGGTCTGTTACCCACTGTCTCAGAATGCAAAAATTGTGTGGGAAAACTAAAAAATGGCAGCACTGGAAAATCCTGCAGATGAAAATGAAAGATCAATTTTGCTGCAGAAGTCTGAATGCATTTCACAACATGCACATGATGAAGAGATTAAATTCTGCTCCTTTGAGGAAGCAGCAGGTGTTTGATGATGCCAAAGGGGCAAACAACTTGGTCCTACTGAATTGCAAGTAATGGTAGTACAATGCTTTTCTGAGGACAAACATGAAGTCTTGTAGGCCATACAGTGGTGGAATAAGGAAACCTGCAAATTAGGGTTTCAGGTCTGTAATGCATTTCATGAGGATGGAACTCGGGAGGTTTGTAGAACTCCATGCAGACGTGGATGCATGGAGTTCTCCACCTCTTAAAAAATACAGCCTGGGTCTTTGAAGGATGGATTTCTCTCACCTAGTTTTATCTATTTAAAAAAATAGATATTTCATCCAGCTGAGTCAGCAGAAGATCTTTGGTTGTTCTCAGAGAGAAAAACTGTTATTGATGCTGACCTGAAACTGGCCTGAACTGAAAATAATCTGGGATGGAAACTTTAATTTGCAGCTGGGAGGTCCTAAACTTAGTTTCCAGACAACTACTGTTCAGTGAGATAAACTCCCTCTGAAGGGAACTCAGATCAGAACTGATGGAAGTAGGGTACTTTAGATGTTCTGGAAATCTTATCTAATATCTGGGGTCATCTCAGATGTCTAATTGTCTTTGAAAACTGAGCTCTGAGCTCCTGTGCTTTCTGCTTTTATTTGTTTCTTTAAAATGACTGGTTTTATGGGTGGGATTAAGTCATAATGGTTGAGAGAGGCTATGAAAAGCTATGAAAAAGTTACGGGCCATAGTGTTCTTGAGGTGGGGGCAGGCTACATTTGAAGCTTCTACTCTTGTGCTTGTGATAATGTGTAAGTTCACTGAGAAGACCACAAATAAGAGTGTCAGTTTATAACTCACCAGCCTATGAGGTCAATTAACTACCAATTAAGTTCCATGTTCTGCTAAACATGGCTTTGAAGCTGAAGATAAAAAATTGAAAGCCAATTTTTTTTAATTTTTTTAAATTTTTAGTCTAATATCTGCAGATTTTCATGTATTAGGAATGTGTAGCTGTGGTAGCAAACTGCTACTGCTACGTCTCAAAAATACCACTATTTGAGGTATTATTGATAATTGTTGAGTATTTAAAGTATGCTTAGCACCCAGCAAACAATTAGTACAGTTATTGCCACCTGTAGATGACACAAAGATAATAAACCTAAGCTGCACCAGTAAAAAACTTGGGCACCATTTACAGTAAGGACCATGAGTAGGATATCTACTGTTTCCTGGAGAATTTCATCCACGAGCTACTTAGCCAGGCCTTTTTCTTGAACATTGCAGGTCTTTAGTGAAAGCGACTAGAATAATGTGAGCCACTTTCTTGCCCATGATAAAAGAGACACAACCTGGCAGTATAGCAAAGAGCTAATAACTTCAATTTTAAAAGAGTATGTTGCCTAAATTAAAAAAGATCTCTATGTGTAGTCTGTCTGTTTAAGGTAAGGGTAGTGCTAGACATTTCAGCTTGCAGTTACAGCAGGGCAATGATGCTGGTAAGCTCTGCCATCATCCGCCCTGGGTGACTGCAGTGGCATCTGTGAGGGAAGCAGTGAGCGGGTACACATATGGTTGGTGAGAGAAACCCAGGATTCACTTAAGAGGCAAAACAATATAAACACTGAATATGAGGGGGAAAATGTTCAGCAAAACTCACATCCTGAGAATTTGGGTCCTAAGTGGATCATTTGTTTATCCCACTGCCAAACCTGTCTCTGTGGCAAAGCAAGCCAAAGAATGTCTCCCTTATTGTTTCCATGATGCTTAATCATCTACAAGCCATTCCCCTTTTAGATTATTCTATTTTTAAGGCATAATTTCCATCTGTTCTTTGATCTTATACCACATAAGACATTCAGCTAATAACATCATCCATCAAATACCAACTTGCCTTTAGAGTTCAAATGCAATCTACACAGGACCCTGTCCCTCTGCTGGACAGTGCCTCTGAACAGATCCAGCTTGTGAATGACCAGCTATGTTGCCCATTTTTTAATTAACCAGCTAAGGTCTGTGCTTCCCATGATGCCACAGGATAACTAGGGGGCACTCCAAAGAGAAGTGAAACATGCTCCTCTGTGGAAGAGAAGAGCATTTGGTGCATCCAGAGCTGCAGTGTGCTTGTAGTAAGTGGGATTTTCCTGTGGATGGAGTCTGCCTTCAGCCCCTGGGGGTAATTCTTTTTTTTTTTTTTCCCTAAACCCACAGTATTTATATAAAAGGTTTGAATAAGAACAGTTTTCAAACTTGCATTCTTCAGAGGAAGGTGGGTAAAGCAGAAAGATGATGTTTGCTTCTGTGAGCAAACTTTTGAGTTTATTTGAGAGAAACTTTAGCATTTCAGGGCAGGTTATCTGAAGCATCAGAATTGCAGATTTGCAGACAAGTATTTACACAGAAAATGCTTGTCTCCCTACCCAACTGGAGAGCCAGGGAATGTCAGATGACTTAGGTGACCAATTGTAGTGAAGCAGCACTGCTTGAATTAAGGGTATCTGAGATCAATTGCAGTTACAAAAATTTTAAGAAACACCTGTCAGGAAAAAGGAGATTAGTGAGTATATCAAGGAAAAGGTAAGTTTTTAATAGATATTTTCCAAGAGCAGCAGTTATTTTTTAATTTTTTAAGTTGTTACTTTCAGATTCTTCAGTTAGCTCTGTTACCTTGCTTCTCGGTGGTTTGCTTTATCTTGCACACAGTGCATTTGTTTAAGAAGGCATTTGATTCAGGATTTATATTCCACTGGCTTACACATGCTGCAGCGTACATATCTCCATAGCCGAAACAATAACAACAACAAAAAAAAGCTCCTACATTTCCTTCTATTTCCTGACTTGCCAATAATAAGAAGTCCCTGCAGAGGGGAGCTTGGCTGGTGGTGTTTTGTGATTTCTCAGATAACAAGAGCTTCACATTTCTGTGGAATTCCCATTTGCCAGCGAGCTGCTGCTGCTGCTGCCCTGATTGATATATGACTGCAATGGCACTTTTCCATTTGACATTCCCTCTCTCTCTCCCTCTCTCTCTCTTAAACAACAGCCCTAACTTTTGTGTGTTGCAAATATAAAAGGCAAGCCATGTGACAGAGGGACAGAAGAACAAAAGCATTTGGAACTAACAGGACCTCTTTTTAGCTCTCTGAAGATTTTGAGGGAAAGAAGGAGCAGTGCATTTTCCAAAGGTAAGCACACAAATAGATTCCTCCAGGTTTTGAGTACTACAGGGACTTAAAATATGCTCTCAATCTCTTTATCTCACAAATACATGTACTCCTCGTACCATCTTTAAAATTAAAACATGTTGATGTGGAATTGTACCTTTATCTCTCCTGGCTGAAAGATGCCTGTATGCAGTCAAATAGGTGTGCTTCTGAGCAACTTGGTTAAACATCTATTGTTATGAGCATGCCGGGCTCATGTCTGCAGCTCTGAGCTGGTCCTAGCTGTATGGCTTTGGAGTGAATGGACATGCTGGACTGCTCTGAATTCATCAAGAGAGTGGCGATATTGCCAGCACCGTCTTTGTCCCTTTACAATAGGGCTCTGTGACCACAGGCAAGCCTGCTAGTTTGAAGCTGGGCTGTTTACTTTTATCACTACTTATGCATGCTGTTCTCTTGCCAGTCATCTGCCAGAGTGCTTAGAATAATTTGAAACAACAGGCAATATTTATTTCTAGCTTTGTGTGTCATGCTTTGCAGGAGCTCTCGTAATTTGCACATTATTATTTATCCAATATTCTGGAAACCTTTCCCATGGACTGGACAGCACTGGTTATGGATTAGGACAGATTTAACATACACTGTTGGTTGGCTGAAACCTATGAGGAAAGCCACAGTGTTTGCCTTTGCTGTAATGCCGAGGGGTATATTTAGTAGGAAGCCAACCCTGTCGGTGCGACTCATAATGCAGTGTGGCTGTGCAGGCGGTGGCTGACACAGGAGGATGCTACAGGACCCCAGACCGCCTGCTGAAGGAGAGAGGGAGGTTCTCCTCATTTGCTGGCAGATCATTTCACTGTGTATCAGCATCAGAGGCACGAGCACAACTGTTCTCTCTGTCTTTGGGACAAAAGAAGAGTTTCGCTGTTTTGAGCCCCATGATAAGTGTAGTGTAACTGCAAGGCACAGGAACGGACACTACCCTGAGAGAGCCTGGCTGAAGACAAAAGCCCCTGTCTCCCTGCTAGGATTCAGGTGAGTGAATTCATCCTATAAGAGTTCAAATGAATAGGTCCAGCAGCAAAAAAAAAAAAAAAAAAAAAGAGTAACAAAGATGAAGCATGTGAAGACTAATCTCAGTACGATGTTAGCTAACTTTTAGTGTCAGTAAAGCAGGCTCACACAGAGTACATGTTGAGGGGGCAGTAATTTTCTTGTGGCTAATCTGAATTTGCAAGATGGTGTGTGTGTGTATTCTAGCTCTTGTGGGACTGTCGGGCAGATTTCTTATCCTACCCTTTAGGTTCATTAAAATTTCTCCCACAGCCTCCCCATAACATATCTTACTTATTTCTGCCTGGGACAGATGGCATGACAAGTAACTTGTTAGGGTTTCTGCAGCTCTTTAAAGAAGAAAAAATCCCCCTCCTATATGCTAAATGTTGCTAACATTTCCTAAAGCTTTGTAATTGTCCCAGTGGCTGGAAGAGTGGCTCACCCAGTGTCGAGAACTCTGCATATTATAAAAGGACAGGCAAATGATGATTTAAAACTGGCAGTGGTTTGCTTCAAATCAGCTCCTTGCTGCAAAGCTATTTTCTGATAGAAGCAACCCAGCTGTCTCGTGGGGTCAATAAACGTGGATGTAACAAGCACAGTGCTGTTATTTGTCCCTCCTCAAAAGAACAGTTACATTTTGGGACTGTATTTCTTTCTTTCTTTTTATTTTATTCATTCTTCTTTCCCTCCCTCCCTTCCCTCCTTCCCTCCCTCTCTCCCTTCCTTCCTTCCTTGGGACTGTATTTCTTTCTTTCTTTTTATTTTATTCTTTCTTCTTTCTCTCCCTCCCTTCCCTCCTTCCCTCCCTCTCTCCCTTCCTTCCTTCCTTGGGACTGTATTTCTTTCTTTCGTTTTATTTTATTCTTTCTTCTTTCCCTCCCTCCCTCCCTCCTTTTTTCCCTCCCTCTCTCCCTCCCTCCCTTCCTCCCTCCCTTCCTCCTTTCCTCCCTTCCTTCCTCCTTTCCTTCTTTCTTCCCTTCCTTCCTTCCCTCCTTCCTTCCTTCCTTCCTTCCTTCCTTCCTTCCTTCCTTCCTTCCTTCCTTTATACTAATGATGCTTACTTTTGCTCTGGCGGTGGGACCTCGCTCATACCTGTGAGCAGTTATACGCATGAATAATTCCCTCAACGTAAATAAAACTATTTGGTGAGTAATTACCAGCTTGAATCAGGGGTTCCTAATGTGACTTACATATATATGCTCTTGCTGAATTAATGAAATCTTATTTGCAATACTAGTATTATAAGAAGATGTTTTAAGATTTTCCATTTAAAAGCAAATATGGAAGCAATGGATATTTCAAGCTTACAAAATAGCAATTTGATTTAATGAAATGGTATAATTAGGGGCTGCTGCTGATTACTCTAGTTAAAAGCTCAGATCTTTACCTGGAGGTGTCCCACGTAGGTTTCCTGGGTTTGCACAGCAACCGGTTTTGATCAGATGCATGTATGCTAATGATTCTCCCTTGCAGAGCAGGATACTTGTTACAGGTAGTCTTGTGTACAGTTCACAGTAGCAATACCCCAGGTAGCTACCTATGCATGGCTGATCTCCACAAAAGCGATCTGCCCAAACAGAATAAACTCTCACGTGCCATCGAGGCTTGTGACAGCATCTTGCTTGCTTGAGTTGCCAGAATAGCTGCCTTTTTTGCCCTGGTGGGAGGAAAGAGAGCTAGCTCCTTAGGGGCTCATATTGATGCCTTTGTTAACATTTTTGGCAGGGACTCTTCCTGGAATCAAGCTTCATTTCCCCTGGGACCAACTGTGTCCCCTTCCTGGCTTGTCTGCTTTCAGATGCACTAGGAAGTGCCCCAGGTTGTTCTTGGACCTTGAAGTGAGTTGTCTATCTATGGTGGAAAACTTGCATGAAGCCACTGAGACTTTTGTTTTTTCAACAAGTCTGGTGGGTTATTTATTTAACTGAAAAATAGAGAAAAAAAATCACTTTTTTTTTTTTCCCAAATACTACCCTTGTCATTACAATTATAAATATTAGATAGTTGTATTACAAATACTAGAAATTCCTCTGCCTCAAATGAGTGTGAGGAGATAGTTGTCTCTATGACTTTTAGAGAAGTTTTGCTACACGAGACTCTGCCCCAGTCCCAAGTTTTGAACAATCCACCTCTTGAGTGTGGCTGGAAGTGGCCACATCAAAGAAGGACCTAGAGACCCTGTGGCAGGCAGCTACAGGGTAACTTGCTGCGGTGAAGGATTTTTCCTTAACCCCATCAGTTGAAGTCTCGGAGTTCTGAGAGTTTATATCCCTTCCAGAAACTCTTTAAAAATAAAACCCTTGCAACTGTAACCCTCCCATACATAACAGGTCCTTTTTCTGAGCCCAGCTAAACTTTTGCCCTCTGTGATATCTTGTTCCACCGGATCATTGTCAGTTGTGTAAACATGTGTTTCTTTTCATCAGTGTTAAATGTGCAGCCTCTCAGCTCCCCTGCCCTTCTCCATGTCCTGTATCTTGGGATGGGGTGAGCAGCCATGCCCAGATAGCCTTTTTTTCTGCTGTCTTGCTTCCTGCTCGACAGCCCTTTTGCTGAAATTCAGTTCAATGGCAGAAGAAAGGTTTAGTTGGGTCAGGTTAGCTTGGGTGCCTGAGTCTCCCTGGCCAAGAGCACCCCACTTTGCTCACACTTTTGCGCATGCATATGAAGAGATGCTGCAGTGTCTGCTGACTATGATCAGCTGTTATTTCCTTTTTATATGTGTCAGTGGGGAACATATTAAAATTTCTCAGTAGTGGTATGTTAGGAATCCCTCTGATGCCCCACCTCTAACTTAGCAGAACAATAAAAGCAAGGTTGTAGTAAGCCTTTGAGCAGCTGGCTGTCTATATATTCCTCCTTTTTTCACATAATCTAATTCAGACTATTATCTGGGTAGCTGTGGCACTACCACTTCCAGACACCATCAGTCCTTGTCCTGTTTGCTGGAATTTCATTGTGTGGCACAGAGTGCCTTTCTAGCATAGAGGAGCATAGCCTTTCTTCTGATGTCTGAGTAGCGGGCTGCTGGTGCCATGGAGACACTGGTCCTAGGAATTCCACTGCATCACTAATTTTCAGCTTCTCTTTGTTATTTTTCTACTTGCATCAATCATTGTTACAGCTTACACTTGTCACATTTATGTGCTTATCATTACTGAGCTGCAAACTGTGCCGGTCTGGCAGTGTGGAGGCAGCCCAGGTTATGTTGCCCTTTAAGACATGTGAATTGAGGATCTGAGTTAATGCCTCAGCTCTGGTTTGGCAAAGGTTAAGCATACCATGGCAGTGACAATCGCATTACTGTCATAGCAGCACGCTCAAAGAGAGTGGGACCTAGGAGAATGCTGTTCCCCTTGTTAGAAGACATAAAATTGTTACCATGAGCCAAATATTTAGGTTCCCTAATTATCAGAGGCTGAGGTATATGGATGGTGGTCTGAATTTTGCCTGTGTGTAAAAGAAGAAAGGATTTTGCCCTTAGGGTCAGGAAAGAGGGAACATGTCCTTCAATGATGTGCTATCTCCAGCATGCATAGCGCTGTCTGCTGGTCCCAGTGGCAGGAATGTCTTTGCTTAGTTTTAAAGAATAAGAAACCCATTCCTATTGCTGCATCTATTGATCACTACAGTCCCTTGAGTTCTCTAGAAAATATGCAAAAGAGAATAAAACCTGCCCACCCACTTGTGACACACTCCAACAGGTAGAGGACATGCCTGAATGCCCTAGGCCTCTCAGCAACTTGTAATTTGGCCAAGAGTTGTTTTGCCTCATATTGGGTCATGAGACTAAAGCAGAGGTAATTACTGGAGCAAATCCTATAGCTAATGCTTTGCTGGGAATATTTGCACTTTACCCAGCTGCCACCCTTGCTGGTTTGCCTCCTGAGAGGGATGGGAAACCTTACTTAGCTCAGCTCTGCACCTCATGCTTCAGTGAGGAGTGGTCCCATCCGGCACTC